TTCTGGGATGTGAAAGAATTAACACGTTGACGACCGCGCTATTTTTCGCTGTCTGGCGTGTGGGACCGCGCGCATTATTTTGACCGCGCGAGTGTGACATGACATCATGTCACACGGTCCCACGTGGCCGAAAGAGTGTGGTATGACATCATACCACACGGTCGTCAACGTGTTAAAGCGTTTAAATCGGTCTTTGCAAAGCTTAGACCGCCGTCACACTCGGCGACGGACAAGCGATAAGCGATCGCGATCGCGTCGCTCCATCGCTTGTCCGTCGCCGAGTGTGACGGCGGTCTTAGCGCTCTTGTTGTGCATATATGTGAGGGAACGGGACATCTGCAACCTTCGTAAGAAGCTCTCTACTACCCATGAGAAGATTTCTCCACCTGAACTCATCCTGAGTTGTAACTTTGAACAGGAAAACCCATCGAGAATGGTTAGAATACATAGGCAAGTTAAAAAAAATTGGCAAGCTAAAAGAGAAACTCACATGCGCTATTTTCTCAATCATGCTGCGGCACAGCCTGTCCGTGGCAGCTGAGCTAAAGTCTTTGTCGCACTTCTTTTCCAACGCAGCTTCAACTTCGGCCTAGAATTACACCACTTGAGTTTGGACGACTTCTACACTGCAGTTGTAATCGACAGAATTAGCCCCATAAACTCTGACGTTAGGCAGGAATCACAGTGCGACCTATACCCTCGAAAATCCTGATGCTTCTTTCGTACCATCCAATACTGCAATCTAACCCTTGCCTGAGATCTATGACGGAGAGCGAAAAGGTGAGAAATTTTTGACTAATTGAGAGAATAATGTGGAGACTACGAAGGAATCCTACACTTTGTTTCCATAAACATGCGAGCCGCAAATGTAAACCTAACAAGACATACGTGACATGAATATTGAGTAGCATGAAAAAACATCAGTAATCAGTTTCACAAGAATGCTGGGTTGTGAACAAAACTTTCGCCCCAGGCGGGACTAGAACCCGCACCTCTCGCTTTCCGGGCAAGTGCGCTACCAGTTACGCTAAGCTTTTCATGGTATACGTACCATAGCTTTCAGCACTCACACGTATAACGTGTTGAGCCGGTTAGCCGATATCGGCAATGACCGCGAGGCTGAAAGCTTTAGCAATGAATTTTGACTTGTTTTTGTTTGTTAACTGCTGTTTTTGGCCGCAGTTCGCGTTGCGAATGTTTCACAAGAATGCTGGGTTGTGAACAAAACTTTCGTCCCAGGCGGGACTAGAACCCGCACCTCTCGCTTTCCGGGCAAGTGCGCTACCAGTTACGCTACCGGGGCACCATTTCATCCCAACTCAGCTTTTCATGGTATACGAACCATGGCTTGTCAGCACTCACACTCAACAAAAACAAGTCAAAATCAGTAATCAGTAATAAATAAAGTAATAAATACCAGT